GGGATGGGGTGAGCCTACCCACGGTTTTTCACTACTAGTTGTTTTATTCCTAAATCGATCACTAAGTTAAGAAAGGAAACCGCGGGCGAGCCTATTCCGTTCTTCTGACTTCGCCCCAACTATCACAACATCAACTACAGTTGCGAAGAACAGGCCGAGATGATTTTACATGGCCGCAAACGGCCCTCACCAACTTTCCTATACGTCGACAATTCCTCAATGTTCTCAAGGATTCGCAAAAATTCAGAAGTTAGATGGATTTTATAATCCCCCAGTACAAGCAGCCAACACGCCTCTTTAACCCCTCGCGTTTCACTCAGGAAACAGCGACAGCATCCCACATGATGGGAAGCCATGGCCGCGCACATGTCACGCAAACCGTGAGCTCCACAAGGATACCTAACCCAGATATGCTTGTCCCTAGGGTCGATGGAATCGACCAAGATTGTGTATAACTCCATTTGAACAATGCCGTGTAATGTGGTCCCTAAGGCACATCCGTCCGCTGGAGAAAAGTTCTGCAAAATACGACCCCTCTCAAAAGTTCTTTCTGTGGTACGACCCCCCCCCCCTTTCAAAGCCCCTTCTACCCTCCTATTTTTCCCCGCTTCCTACTATTTTCTTCCATTTCTCCCAGTTTTTCCGGAAGTTTCTACGTTTTCCCTATAGAAAAAAAAACTACCGTCGAGCCGGGAAGCGGGACAGGAGGGGAAGGGGTACAGCGAACACAAGAGGGGGAGGAAACAGGAACAACCGAGAACTATCAACAACCGAAGGAATTTTCTCGAACGGAAAACACGACCCCCTCGCCAGGGTTCGCCCCCCTCTCCCAACACGCCACGTGCCGTGCGATGGAAGCAACATACCCTGAGCGAGAGCACTGACCCCCTCACCCCCTTTTTTTGCTCCTCTGAATCTCATTTTACGACAAAACTTCCTGCGCCCGGTCCCCTGTTTTGTTGACAATCGCAACATCTGCTCGCGTTCGTTCACAAGAAACTAGTGTACAAACAAAGTACAGAAAATCCTCGCAGGGCACTGTGCAATGAGAGTAATATAACCTGTACCGGCCCGCGTGACACACATGGTGTGCCATGCATTTGCCCCTTTGTGGCGTTTAGTTTAAATATTCGGACTTTTCATGTTCTATTGTTGCGGAGACACGTTTTTCGTTATTGACATATTCTTACTCGTAAGCGATTGAAAAGAGGGAGGGAATTACTGATCAATTATTGACGAAAAATGACGAAATCACTGGGTCATGCGCGCAGTGC